AGTTCATGTCTAGGCAGAAACTAGGTAACAATTCTAATCTGCTCTTAGATAAGGAGATCAGATGTTTCCAGATGTTTCCTTGATGGCTAAGAACATTTTTTTTTCTTCTCTGAGAATAAATTTTCTGAGGCAGTTCTCTATTTCTACAGCAACCTCCTCTCCTTGCTTCTTAAACTCCTTCTGTTCAATTTGTGGTTTCTAAGTTGTCTGTAAATTAGATAAGAGAAAGCTATAAATATGGTGAGAAAAATTGTTAAGGGGATATCAACACTCGTATAAGGTCAAAGTACTGATTTTTTAAAAATACATATCGCATTGTTGACATGTGGTTTATTACAGACTTCCTTTGGCAGCTGTTAAAAGTCAGTGGGAGGATGTTAATATGCTAGCTACAGAAGCACCAGCTCTTCAAACCTGCTGCAAAACAGAGATGGAGTTAGTTGCCCAAGTGCCTGAGCAGGCACAATGAAGAGAAATAATAATGTAACATTTTCTTGAGCACCTACTATATACGAGATGCTGTATGCACTGGTAAAATACAGGATTATAAAATTCATTCTCTAAGGTATATAATCTAGTTGATATCATATCTGTGTAAAGCCTATTTACTACTTATTATTATTATTATTATTATTATTGTTATTTTAACTGTTTAATAAACTATGTCTCATAAAAACTGGGTCCTAGTGTCCTGTAAATTTGGGGGACTCCTGATGGGTTCTTCTCTATGAATGGCAACACTTAAGCATGGAGTCTTCCCCAAAGTATGATTATTATTAATAACTAATTGTGAACAGCTAGTAGTACCTACCAAATAAAACACTTCAAATAAACATTTGAGCCATTGTTTTATTAAAGAAACCCAATCTTGGGCCCAACTTATCAGATATTAAAAACAAATGCACTCTTCCTCCATCATTGCTCTTCAGACAAGGGAAAGCTCTTCACGATAATAGCATAAATACAGCCATCCCAATGTGCATACACTAATTTCCAAGGTTAAAGCTGAATTGTTTTCAAATAGTAAAATAAACTTTAAGGGCCCAAGTCTTCTATTTGTTTTAACTTTTCTTAAAAATGCAAGGAAAACTTTGAAAGGTCTAAATCTATTATTCAGTCAAGTTGCTCTCAGGGCGGCGTCTTTGACCTCAGCAGGAACAAAGCTGAGTAACCATGGCTGCAGAGGTGTTGTAGTTCAGTGGAGCCAACACTGGCCTTCCTGGACTAGCCGGGTCCGAACTGGGGTAGCCAGCATGACCAGGGAGAGATTTGAGACTTAGGAGAACAGCCCTTGGAGGCTTGGGGTCATCTTTCGCTTAGTGCCCATTGGTTCAAGGTTGTAGTGTTTTAGGTGCCTGGAATGTGAGCCCTTTCATTACACATCAGAAGAACAAAATGAAAGTGCATGGAGAACACAGCACAAAGAAGAAACCTTAAAGGAAATTCAATAGAGTGAGGCATGAACGTAGTGATAGAGAAACTATCAAAGACAGCAACCATATTAGCAGTAGATATAAAACATGTCTTCTTATGGATCAAATTACACACGCACACACACACATTGTTACATACAATAGTCATCTAACTAAGGAGGACATCCATCCAAGAAGGCTTGCAAGTGTCGCATGCTGTCTACCTAAAGCTGAGTCTGTTGCTTACCATTGTAAGGGAACTCTCTAACTTGACAAAGATTTAATAGCATCATGGAGCAATGAGGGCAAGGTTGCACTGTTTATGAGGCTTTTGGAGTCTCGTTTAAAATGGGCTTTCCAGTATTCAGGCCTAATTAGAACCAGATAATGAATTATGATACAACTACAGTGGGTCCTCGACTTACGAGTGTCCCGACTAACGAGTTTTTCGAGATACGAGCCGTCTCTCGGTCGATTTTTTGCTTTGAGTTGTGAGCTAAAATTCGGATTACGAGCCAGCTTCAGATACCCCACCGCTAGTTGGCGCAGTGAATGTCACAGTGAACGCCACAACATCAGCCCAGCATCACGTGTCTCACTCGTTCACAATTGATTTGACATACGAGTAATTTGAGTTACGAGCTCCGTCACGGAACGAATTAAACTC